AAAAATCTACCAATTACATCCCTAATATTAGATTTGAACCTACTATATTCATTTTTCCATTAATTTAAGTCACGTTACTTGCATGTAATATACATTGGAGGGAAGATTGGTAATTTTTCATTATACATCTTAGTTTAGTGTTAAAGTTTAATAGTCTACACAATAACAACAAAGCATTTTTCCATTAAGTTGGGTCGGCTTCAAAGTTTAATAGTCTATAATAAAATAAAATTAGTCTATGTGCAGACTTATACATGAAGGGAATTAGTCTATGTTGCTATAGCTTCAAAAATAATGTGTGTTATTTTGGTTCAGCTTAAGAAATAGTATGGTTTATTTTGTTCAGTTTCAGAAATAGTGTAAGTTATTTTCCTATAGTTTCAGAAATAGTGTGAGTTATTTTGGTTTAGTTTCAGAAATAGTGTAGGTTATTTTGCTGTAATTTCAGAAATAGTGTGAGTTATTTTGATTTAATTCCAGAAATAGTGTAGATTATTTTGCTGTGGTTTCAGAAATAGTGTGAGTTATTTTGCTATAGTTTCAGAAATAGCGTTGATTATTTTGCTGCAGTTCCATAAATAGTGTTGATTATTTTGGTTTAGTTTGAGAAACAGTGTGAGTTATTTTGTTGTACTTCTAGAAACAATGTGGGCTATTTTGGTTCAGTTTCTGAAATAGTGTGAGTTATCTTCATTCATCTTGAGAAATAGTGTAGTTATTTCTTCACCTTCTCAACCATCTTTTCTTTCTTTTTTCACATCTCTAGTTGTATACCACATCACTGCCGCACCGCATCACCATTAAAATCATCGTGACAAACCAAAATCAAACCAGCACCCAAAACTTGGATCCCACCATCTTCTCATGCTTCATCTTTGTTGTCTTCTTGTTGGCTTGGATTTGCCATCATCTCCCAAACCGAAGGCGCTTCGGTGGGATCTCACAGATGGAAAATTTTTGGTATTCAACACCACCTACACCAAACGAGCGCCACCACCTAAAAACATTATAGAAGCTTATGTATCGATAAGAAAAATCCATGGGTGTAGAACTCTGCCATTTTTATTAATGATATCAAATTTTGCGAACAAACGCATGAGCAACTGACGATACATAGATTGTAAAGAGAAACTTCCTCATGGCGCTTTGAATGTCGTCTAGGGATTCCATCCAGTTTCAGTTCAAGGACAGACATTTCCAGTCTCTTTGTTTCTTCGCCGGATCACATTTCTCTACTGACAATAGTTTTAAGTTTATGCTTTGCTAATGACAAATATTGTAGTTCTAGACGTAGACAAGTTAACTAGACAGTGTAAACATTCATATTCAAACTTTTTTTTATGTAACAATATTATATTAAAATATCGCTCGAATGAGAAATATTGTTACAAGCAAATCCCACATTTGCGAAGTTTGAGAGAAAAAGATGATTCCACATTTCCACTTGTGCAGCAGAGTCAATGATTATGATATATGTAATCACCATCATTATTAAGCATTGGTGATTTGGATAATAAAGGCAAATATAATGGGCAATGTGGTATTGAAACATTTTGAGACACATTCCGCATCTTTCATTTCACTTTAGTGTAGAAAGACTGACTAGTCACCAAGGGCTCTCAGAGACTCCCAGTCACTGAAGAACTCTCCTTCTTTGCATGTTCTATTACAGAAGATAAAAGAAATTTAAAAAATATGGGGATGAATCGTTTTCTTCGATCCAATCTCAGAACCCAGGTATCAAATCTTAAATCCCAAACACTCATTTGGTTTTTTTTTGGATTACATCTTCCTGGATGTGTTTTCTGATTGACAAAGACAGAAGAACAACATAATATTACAAGCAACTGCATCATATTGAATCAAAACTCTATTTTAACTTCTTCCGACTTCTTAATGTCATCCCAAAAACCAAAATTGCACTATTCATCTGAGGATCTGTAAGAGATTTGAACAAACATCCCGTATCTTAGCTAGGGGGCCAAAAGAATTAACAAGAATTGAAGAATTGAAAATGATTTCTGGTCTCTTTGTTTCTCCGCCGGACCTTCTTGCCCATTTCTCTGAGATTGTTGTTGACTATTAGCAGTTGGTTCCCTCTCGTCAGCTTTGCATCCTCTGTCGCCATCTCCTCTTCTTCTATGCTTGATTCTTTGAACAGGAACAAGAAGGAAAAAAAACCTAATTTGATCGAGTTCCTAAAGGCCAAAAATCCCTAGCTGGATAACAGAAAGCAATCAATTCAAAACCCTAAATTAAAAAAATTAAAAAAGTGAAGTGATTGGCCTTTATAACTCAGTTCTTCGACATGACTAAACTAACGGAAAACAAAACAAACATAACCCAAAAACGTCAGGGTCAAAACAGAGAAATCAGTATGTTATTTTGGGTGGGCTATTTTAATTGGACTTGTTTAATATTGAACTTTGTACTAATTATTAAATAAAGTTATATGATGATTTTTCATTAAAACTCAAAGTTCCTTTTTTCATTAGTTTTTCTTATGAATTATCAAATATGACTTGTGGATTAATATTTGATAAACATCAGAGTGAGATCTAATCGAATGTTTACTTGATGTCAAAATCTGATTCTTTGAGTCGTGACAGGAATATAGATGATACACCATGTGTTTTTATGCAAGTGGTGGAAAATTTAATTTTTAAGTTATTAATCTTTTAAAACATATAACCCATCATTTATATAGGAACACATGGTGTATCACATCGTATGACGGTCACACTAAAAAATTATCTTCAAAATGAGTCAAAGGGCAGGTTTAATTGTAATTGTAACAGGACTCGTATCTCTATGCTTCTGGTACATGTGTGTCAGTCTTACTCTTCTAATAAGAGTTCGATGAGTGGATCCCAAAAAACAAGGAGTCGAATGGAGTCCTGAGTGGCCAGGGATCTGCTGTCCCCTAATTTGTATCTCGTTCATGTCTCCTTTTTAATTTTTGAACACGTGTCCTATGCCTTAACTCAAAGTTAACAGTGTTAACTTTTCTAATTCATTAAAGAAAATTAAAATAATAAACACAACAAAACTCAACACTGGAAGTATTGAGTCGAAGCCGACGACAATTCTCACCGTCCTTGAAGCTTCTTTCCACTCTCTCTTTCTATCTCTCATCGGCGAAGCAGCGTAGGAGGATTGATAAATAAATGGGTAGCTGAAAAACATCAAAACAACCCATCAAAAATTACACAAACCCCAATTTCTAACCAAAACTAAAATTAAAATTCAAACTTCTCTAACTTCACCAATTGATAACTAAATGGGTAGCATGAACACATTAAAACAAGCAAATTGGTATTAATCCCAAAACAATTACAGAAAACCCATCATCTAAACTCACCAAACCAAATTAAAAATCCAAACTTTTCAAGTCTACCAATCGAAAACCAAACGGGCGGCTGGAAAAAATCAAAACAAGCAAATGGGTATTGAAATTCCAGCAACAAACACCAAATGAAGAAGAAGTTTCAGAATTGACCTGCAGTGAAATGTTGGTGAAACTAAATCCTGAAGATAAAGAAATGCCAATTCGCCGAAAAGCTGCGAGCGGGTTTCGAAGGAAGTCCGGGATCGGGTTTTGTTGGGGCGTGCGTGCAAGCGGGTTTACCGGAGGGGATATGTTGCAGACGGGAGGAGAGGAGGAGGCGATGGGCTCTGGCCTTCACTTTCCCCAGAAAATGGCCGCATCTCTCTTAATGAATTAGAAAAGTTAACACTGTTAACTTTAAGTTAAGGCATAGGACACGTGTTTAAAAATTGAAGAGGAGACATGGACGAAACATATATTTGGGGACAGCAGATCCCTGGCCGTCCTGAGTTCCTAACTCTCTTCTAATAAAGACGTAGTGGAGTTGTTCTTGGTGCCCTAAACCAAGATAAGCAGCCGCCTCTCCGCCTCGTTCTTGGTCTCCCGCAGTTGCAGTCGCAGTCTGACGTCATGATGAAAGCTATGGGTAAAATTCTCTCCCCCTTCAGGGTAGAAGCACACAAGAATAATATCGATAACAATATTTCTCAGCTCCCAATAATTCGTCCTTATAATACTAGTTTGAGATCAATGGCACTGGTATTTGCTCCTCCTAACAGTAAATATCCACCACAGAGGCCACTGAAATTATGCTCAAATTTCTCTTCAAATGAGATTAATATTGAGGAGGAGGAGGATGTAACGGAATTGGAATCCGAATCGGGGTTGGAGTTGGAGAGTGTTAACACTAACCCCTGCATTGATCTGTTGCGTTTTCTGTTGGCTGTAGAGGTGAATTCCTCCTACAGGCAGAAAGCCTCCGCCTCCTCTCACAGATATCTAAACCAGCAACTTCTGCCGCTGGCCTGGTTCCACAGTCCCCTCACCACCCTCAAGCTCATTCGTTATCTCGGACAAACCACCGACTATGAATTGTTCCACAGTGCCTTGCTATGGCTCCACCACAACCACCCCAAAACCTTAGCCTCCAACATCGAGCCCCTTGCCGGCAACTCCGGTCGCGATTTTGTCGAGATTATCTACCGCCTTGTTCTTCTACAACTAATCAGCAGCCAACACTCAAATTCTGATGACGTCCATTGTCGAATCAGAGACAAGACCATTGCCATTGCCAACAAGGCTGCCGAGATGTACCATCGCGACCCTGATTTTCAGTTTTTACACGACCGGGTTTCTGGTTTTTTCGCAAACTACCTAAAGTCTGATATTGAAAAGTTGAAGAGCAAGAACAAGAGGATGAATGAGAACGAGGATGGATGGTGATGATAATTATATCGAGTTTAGCTGGGCTGCGGCATGTCTCCCATACGCTGGCTACCGGGCTGCCACGCAGCTGTGTGAAAGCATTGCGAGGAAGCTTTTTCCGCGACAAGATGGATACCAAGGTCTTGAAGAGGTACGTCCGAAAAAAAAAAGTATTGAAGAGGAGGCCGATTACACGTCAAGAGCGCGAAGCCGGCTGACCAAGGAGGTTTTGCTGCCAGTGAGGAGGATGACATGTTATGACACTTTTGGCGGCAAGTGTAGGATTAAACAGTATCTGGAGGACGTGAAAGCCGGCCGCTGCGAGATTAAGATTGATGATGAACCTACTTCGCTGCTGCTGCTGCTTCCGCATAGGGTGATACACTATGTGGACAATCCCGATGTAGGGGACGTTGCTCAACTTCACTGGAAGGCAATGGTGGAGGACTTGTTCAACAAAGGCAAGTGGAAGAATTGCTTGGCTGTATGTAACGTCTCGAAGCCCACGAGTCTGCGAGGTCAGGATGTGTCGGTGGCTTTTGGGTTACTGGTGTCTCAGCTGAGTGAACAGCCCTGGAAAGGAAAGGTCGTCCCTTTCGCTCGATATCCTGATCTGCGTCTGATACAAGGTGGAAATGATCTCAAGTCCCAGTGTGCCTTTCTGAGGGGCATGGACCACACCGAAACTTGTCCTTTCCACACGGTGCTTGATTTGATCCTCCAAGAGGCTGTGAATGCCAATTTGAAGCCGGAGCAAATGATCAAGAAGGTGCTAGTTTTCACTCATTATGGCTTTGAGATATCTAATGCCGACGGTCACTGGCCAACTACTTACCGGGCAATACAAAGAAAGTTTGAGGAGAAAGGTTATGGGGATGCGGTGCCACACATAGTGTTCTGGCAGTTGTGGAACAAGGGCGCTGCCGGCAACTGTGTCGAGCCTCCTTCAAGAATACCAGGGGTGACCATCCTCACCGGCTACTCGGACAATTTCATCAAGTTGTTCCTGGATACTGAGGGGGAAGTTGGCCCCAAGCATGCCCTGGAATCCGCCATCTGTGACAAAGAGTACTTAAATCTTGCTGTGGTGGACTGACTCAGTTGTCATGATCGATCGTTACGTTTATTTTAGTTTAAGTTATGGTCCTCGTGGACACTTGCGCTTAATTTGTTTCGGCTTACTTATTAATGCCTACGTTCGACTGGATGTTGTTCATTTCACAAGCCTTATAGAACTTGGGAAGCACAACATTCTAAAGCATGGCAAGTCTTCAGGACAGCGTATACTTTCAAATTTGGTATTAACTGTAGGCTTTCTCAAGTCATTTTGCTAGGGGAATAGATCCATCCACCCTCTTCTATCATGGCTCCAAGGCCAATTCTCTCTTAATATTTTGTTTTGCGCAATTTATCCTGTTCAGAATAAGTTCCGCAGTTATGCCTTTGATGAGATTTTAAACCACATTGGTTTTGGGATATGTCATTTGACCATCAAGGATTGAGTTTCTGGACGAGCTGATGATTTTGCAGTTTAAATCATCTTTTTCGAAGTCATTTAATGTCGTCTGTGATCAATGAATAGCAAGTCCCTTGCACGAGTGAGACGTCAACAAATTCGTTGGTTTGATTACTGGCTCGTAATGAATTGAAGGTAGTTATGGCCCCGAACTCGGCCATATATAGCAGGTTATAGTTCAATATACAAAGGCTTTGAGGGGCCAGTAGCTAAATCTTCAAAAGCATTCAAAGCCTCAACCAGATGGATCCACTCCACTCTCGTCTAATGCATTTACAGGACTTTTGCTGTATCAGAATCATCAGAGCCATACTTGCCTTTGAAGTAAGCGATAAAACTGAAGAATGCCATAGCGCGCATGATCAGCACTGAATTCTGCAGCTTTTTTACACTTTGAATTTGAGCAATTTGACCAACGAAGTGAAAAAAGTATACCGCGAATTCTGTGCGGATGATGATACATGTGAGTAGGGAGTGGGAGAAAACTAAGTTGATGAAGACAAATAAGCGTGTTATAATTGGGCAAACACTTACAATCCCGTGCCTACCAGAAATTCACTCTTTTACAGCAGCAAGTTTCACATAACGCTGTGGAAACATATCCTCATTGTTAGTAAATCAACAAACCAAATCATCATTAGCAGACTCCTTTGTTTGGTGTCACTCCAAGAGTCTGATGAATCATTAGCATAGAATCATTTCAGTGATGCGCAGCGTAGGAAGAGTGCATAAGATGCAAATTTTCATTAAAGGCATACGGCCTGCTTACTCTGGTGTGGTCTCACGGTTTCATAAAATAAGTTACCAACTTGCTGCTGCTGTACTCATGTGTGAGCTAGGCATACTCAGTGGCATTTTAAGAAAACACTCGTTATATGTGAGGCATATTTAGAAAACTTACGTGGAATCGCCCATTATCCTTGCCCATAACCTGATACAAACCACACGCAGAAAACCTATAAATTGCACACTTTTTCCCTCCATTTCCCTCCAATTCGCTTATAAAAGCAGCCACCCGGTGCAATTCATTCCAAAAATTCAGTCTATCTCTCAAGAAACCACCGCAGCGCATCTCTCTCTGCTCTCTGCTCTCAAGAAACTACCGCAGCGCATCTCTCTCTGCTCTCTGCTCTCAAAACCACCGCAGCGCAGAGGTATCCTCTTCTCTCTCCTCTCTCCTCTCTCTTTTTTCTCTCTTCTCTCCCCTCTCTCTACACTCTCTAACCCTAACCCTAACACTAACACTCTCTCCTTCTTCAGATGGCGGCGTTCAGTGCCTTCATGTCCGGTGGCGCCTGCAAATTTCAATCGCTGACGGATCTCCGCGCCGTTCAAGGATCCCAGCAGGTTCTTGCTAAATCGCAAGAAAATCTCAACCGAAACATTTCTAATCTCAAGCTATGGACTGATGCATACGTGCATACGCCTGAGGATGTCAAACTGGCGATCGAACTCCGCGACGACAACCAATGGACCGCTTCTTTCACTACTGCCAAAAGCAATCCAAACGCCGGAATGATGAAACAGATTTCAGACAAGGCCCGTCCCCCTCTCCGTCTGCAATTCAAACGAATCACCGAGATCGTAGAGGTCAAGAAGAAGCCAACCGCCATTGGACAGCACCAGGAGGAGGGCGAACAGGGAGGATACGACAAGGCCGAGGCTCTAAACGACGCACCAAAAGGCAAAAAGGGCAAAAAGGGCAAAGGGCAAAGGGGAAAGGGCAGCAAGGTCAAAGGAAAATAGACACGAGAGGAGCGAAACCACTCAGCAATAAGGGCAAAAAGGGAAAAGTAGTTGGGGAAGGCATTGGGGAATTTGCCGAATTAGGATCAAACTGTAATTGGGGATCAAACTGTAATTTTCATTCTTTTCGAGGGGTTAGTTTTGTAGTGTTGTCAGTCTTAAGGGTGCAACGAGCTAGATTTCACTAACAATGGTGACATTTGAGAAATGAAAAAGTATAATGTTGTTTACTAAAATACGGATGAAAAAAATATTTCACTTTCTAATTTCTCCATGTGTTTACCAAAATAACGCGAAGAAAACGAAAAATGTAAATTTCCTCTAAAATCCATAATCAAATACCAAAAAAATAAAGAAAAATGTAAATTTCCTCTTAATATTATCAATTAGACAACTTTAATAAAAAAAATTTCGTCAGTAACTTTAATAATTACTCAACTAAAAATAATTAGTGAATATACTAAGGGTCATTTGGGATTGCTGATAGAGAATTAGAAGTGCTTTTTGTAACTAAAAGTACTTATGACCATATACAACAACATTTTTTAGCAAGTACTTGGATTTGAATGAAAATTTTAACATGTTTATACTACAAACACTTTTAACAAAACGCTTGTGAGCAGACACCCAATCAACCAATCTTAAGTTACATGGTTATACTTTGAAGCTGTGGAAGCTTGCATTGCATTGACATGGAAACATCTCTATATATAAAGCTAGCTAGCTAGCATAATAGTTCACTTCAACAGTAGTCATCAGGGCCAGCCTTGAGGGGGTGCGAGGAGTGAGACCGCACAGGGCCCCCGTTTTTTGGGGCCCCTAAATTTAATAACCTTTGTAATATACTAGATATATACTATAAACGTGAGCATATCAAACGACGTTGTCATAGCCGATTTGGCAAGCATTGTTTTTGCTATCTAGGTGTGCACACGTTCGATTCCGTGGTTACCTATATTTTTAATTATGAATTTTTTTTCAGCCGTGTTTATTTCATATTGGGCATTTTTTGGGGTTTTTTTCTTCCTCCAAAGCTAGATAAGTATTATTAAATACTAATGGATACATTTATTTTTAATTATGAATTTTTTTTCAGCTGTGTTTATTTCATATTGGGCATGTTTTGAGGGTTTTTTTTTTCTTCAAAGGTAGATAGATATTGTTAGATACAAATGGATACAATTACATCCTCCGAGTATTAAACAAGATTTGAGGACCAATACAAGCCCAAATATACTTCCCTTCATTTTTGAATGCAACAGATGCCACAGAGTGTGCCGCACGATTACCTTCTCTAGGCTTTTTTAGCTACACTGTTGTTTTCTTGTTTTAAATATATGTAGTTATTTTCTTTCATTATAAAAGATAACTTTTGCTAATAAATCTATAATTAGGAATGTCATAATAAATTAAAATTTTAAAAGTTTGAAGATATAATCTTTAAAAGCCTCATTTTTTTTCTTATACGATATCATTTAACCATTTATTTTCTAGTCACTATTTGATGGTCATCTAATTTTCATTTTATTTGAAAACCATTTTGTCATCCATATATCAATGATTTGTTTAACACATAAATTTTTCTTGAGATGAACTCTGGATGATAATAAAGAGCAAGAATAGTTCTAATTATAATATTTGAATGGTGATATGATAAGTACATATCCACCGTGCCATGCTTTTTCTATTAAAAAGCAAGGAGTTTTGAACCCAAAAACATAAGGGATGCAGATAGATACACAAACCCAACACACCATGTTTCATTTTTATTTATTTTCTTGTGCGTTATATCAATTTTTACACATAAAAAATAAAAGTATAAAAGAAAATATAGCAACCAAAATTTTAGGCCATGTAAGGGCCCCGTTTGGATCTTGCACAAGGTCTCTAAAATCTCAAGACTGGCCTCGGTAGTCATCAGTACTTTTTATATATTTCAATGTCTTTCCAACGTGATTCCATGTAGTAGGTAATGTTAGCCGGTGCAGCATAAACTCCACATTTGAAGTACAAATCTCCTGGCCCTTGATCCTTCACCCGAAAATTTCTGGACTCCGTCAATGAAAATAGTCACGCTCCCTCCGTCGACGTCATGGATTATGTTAAGTCTGAACCACTTATCGTAAAGATTTGTACCCACCAAATCTCGACTATAATACCTCATGTCGCCGTTATAGATTCTTAGGATTATAGTCGTAGCACCCTTAGCTGCTCCATGGATCTGTGCTACTGTAGCACCAGAGGTTCCATTTGGCACAAATCCATACCCTTCAAATTGCCATATTCCAGATGAGTAGTCAAATCCCTGCATAAAACTTAGTTAGCGCCAACTAATGATTGCTTTTTTTCGTCGGACAATATATGAATCTGGACTACCCGTTCTAGAAGCGTTCCACATAAAAACATATACAACGCATGGCAAAAAAGCACAAACAAATCCATATAAGGATTTATAAGGAAGCATCCGTATAAGTATTTATAAGGAAGCATTTTTTTCTTGTTAGATTTATGTTGGCAAACTATATATATATATATATATATATGGACCATATAAGTCAACTTGATCGATAGTTTATATTCACTGTCTAAATGTAAAATCAAACATTTGATAAAATTTAACATGATCAATGACTAAGATTCATATTTTGACAAGTAATTCTTGCTCACGGTATATATAGAGTAATGTTCTCTTTTGTCAAATCATTTGACAATGTAGGAGTATTTATAATATATATACAAGACAAAGGTATTCTATTAGACTGTCTGACAACATAAGAGACTTATTCATAAAACTGTGATCTGAACAACATATTCAGTAAAAAAATCAATCTAATCAAATCCATCATATACCAACATAAACATTTATCAGTAGGATTATGGGGCTAGTCATATATAGCAGGTTAGGAGGCGTACCCTCATGCGAACTTCAGTACGTGGCTGGGTTTGGCTATTAGGGTCATGGGGCTTGTCATCAGCATAGACCCACAAACGCCTTACACCATTGACAAAACTGTAGCGCTCCTCCAGTGGTACGTCATACGGTTTCTGTAATTCGGAATTATATTCCGTTAACGGAACATCGACGAAGCCATCAGTCGGATCAGCACCACATAACTGAATGATGTCTTTCAGTGAGCCCAGAAAAAACAAGGAGAGAAGGTAACCTCTCATGTTTTCTTTCTCCACTACCTACCTCGTATGGTTGATGGTGGGAGCTTATATCTCTGCATCTTGGTGTGTGTGTATATATATACACATTAGATCATTGTTCACATTACTTATTTTCATCCTTTATTTTAATATATTTTCATTTTGTAATTTGACATTTACAGCACCACCACCACTAAACCATATCTCAATAGTAGGGTCTGCGCTCTGGTTTGTGCTAAGTTTTTCGTTAATTCCAAATACTACATACATTTTCTTATATTTAACTCTACACGTGTAAATTTAGCTTATGTTGCCGGTCCCAAGCCCGGATAAAGGGGAAGGAGGAGTGCGTCAGGTAGTTTACAATCAACGCTTTGTTCTTCACATCGAATCCCTATGATATGAATCCTAAACGCAATTTGACATTTACTAATGAACATTTTGAGTATTGAAAACAAACATATCGCTCTATGAAAGATAATTATTGACACGATTCTTTCTATGTATATTACGATACATTCTGCCTTGTGATCCGAGTACACTATAACGTTTGTCACTAAACATAAAGAATAATAATGAAGCGGCTTTGAATTACCTTTAATATTTGAGTACTGTTAGGGAGATTAAAATTTTGAACTAAATTTGTAAACTAATTGACGTAATAATCAAAACATTAACAACTACATCATCAGTTTACAAAATTTAGTCTCCCTAACTTTACCCTTAATATTTTACCATTTAGCCTAACTAATTAAAGTCCTTATACTAATTCTAACGTGGGTTGCATGGAAGGCAAACAAAAGCTTTTTCAACAAAAGGTTATTATATATCGGCGGGGAGTGTGCACCCGTGAGGATATTTGCAGGGGAGTTAGCACAATATTATTGTTAAATTCAAGCTAATTAATAATGTAAATACCCACAAGATGACAAGGCATGTGAAACTACCCAAGTATGGTTTCTTAGAACACTATGACAATGCTAGTTAAAAAAATTAAAGGATCACTTTGGATACGGTCCCTAATTATTAATATTCTTTTACTGAAACCTTGTTGGTTTTCAATTTTTTATCGAAGTCCCTGAAATTAATGTGATAATGTATTTTCATGCAGGTTATTATATTTTTTAAATTAAAAATTGAAATTTATAGTTGTTTGTATTAATGAGATTTTAAATAAATAAAACCCATAATTTGTTGATTAAAATTATTAAAATATAAATTATACTCTCCAATATATTTTGTGTGTGTGTGTGTATGTATATAAACGTGGGTACATTCATCAAAATTAACAAAAAAAATTATTGTACCAAAATATGGGTACATTCTTCAAAACCACACAAAAAATAATAGATATTTGGCTTCATAACATTAGTAAATTTCTTTGATTAAACTTGACATGGATACATTCTCAAATACGGAAAAATAATGTACCCATATAAGTTTAAAAATGGATTAGGAAAAAATTGAATAGATTTTATATATGAAAAAAGGGTACATTTTACTACAACAAATTGGTATATTTAAGAATGGGTACATTTTAAGATTAAAAATTTGAAAAATTACATGAATGGGTACATATAAGATTAAAAAATTGGAGACCTTTTTATAAAAAATTAAGGAGTACAAACTTATTCTAATTTTTTTTTTTATTTTGGAAATGTTTTGAATTGAAAATTAGTTAGGAGTTTACTAAAGGTGTGAGTATTAAAATCCTAAATCAATTATTAGTTTTTGTTTTAAAAATTATATAACTGATATGTAAATTTATTATTATATTAATGCTAGGGACTTTTGTCACATCCCGGCCCGGGGCGGATCACTTCCCGGCCCCGCTCCACCACCGTAGCACGATATTGTCCGCTTTGGGCCCCGACCACGCCCTCACGGTTTTGTTTCTGGGAACTCACGAGCAACTTCCCAGTGGGTCACCCATCCTGGGAGTGCTCTAGCCCCCTTCTCGCTTAACTTCGGAGTTCCGACGGAACCCGAAGCCAGTGAGCTCCCAAAAGGCCTCGTGCTAGGTAGGGATGGGAATACACATTTAAGGATCGCTCCCCTGGGCGATGTGGGATGTTACAATCCACCCCCCTTAGGGGCCCGACGTCCTCGTCGGCACACCACGGCCAGGGTTAGGCTCTGATACCAAATTGTCACATCCCGGCCCAATGCGGATCACTTCCCGGGCCCGCTCCACCACCGTAGCACGATATTGTCCGCTTTGGGCCCCGACCACGCCCTCACGGTTTTGTTTCTGGGAACTCACGAGCAACTTCCCAGTGGGTCACCCATCCTGGGAGTGCTCTAGCCCCCTTCTCGCTTAACTTCGGAGTTCCGACGGAACCCGAAGCCAGTGAGCTCCCAAAAGGCCTCGTGCTAGGTAGGGATGGGAATACACATTTAAGGATCGCTCCCCTGGGCGATGTGGGATGTTACAACTTTGATCAAAATTTGAAAACTAATAAGGTTTCAATCAAAGAACATTAGTAACTAAGAATCGGATACTAATTTTTTCAAAATTAAATTTAGTAACTAAGAATCGGATACTAATAGTTTAGGGACTAAATCGGTACTTCACCCAAAAATAAAATAAAAAATCTCTTGGACGGTGCTTCATGCAGCAAGTTCAATTCAGAACCTTCCTTTTTGAAATTTCATACATTTTTTTATAAAAGTAACTATAAAGTTAGTAAATCTCTTCTCTATTATACATCTTAGTTTAGTGTTAAAGTTTAATAGTCTACACAATAACAACAAAGCATTTTTCCACTAAGTTGGGTCGGCTTCAAAGTTTAATAGTCTATAATAAAATAAAATTAGTCTATGTGCAGACTTATACATGAAGGGAATCATGTTCGTTATTACGAAAAAAAATTTCAATGTGCTGAAAACACAACTCGGTACATCAAGTATCATAATATAAGTGATGCAATATCTTAAAAAAATATTTCAATCATTTATATTATAACACTTGGTGTACTGAGTCGTGTTCTCGATATGCTGAAAAATCTCTTTTATTATATAATACACCTCCTAAAATTGGCATAATGACCAACACAATTATCTATGAAAGTTAATAATATATGTGCAAGATGATGCGAAATTTTTCAATGTGTCGTTCCATGGCCTGATATACCAAGTGTAATAATGCATCGGAAACTTAAAAGAAAAAATTTCAACCAATTGTAGTATGACACTTGGTGTGGTATTCTTCTTCATTTGTAAGTGAGAGGTCATAGGTTTGATTATCGTCAAAAGTGAAGTTGAACCACATTATTATGGCAAGTCCATTGTAACACCTAACAACATGATAATTTCCTTCATTCTTTGATTACATTTTTTTGTTGTTATTGCTTATTACAAAATTCAGATTACGGATTATGCTCGTTGCCCAACGTAGTGTATCCATCTCTGTTCACTCAAGTTAGAACTCTAGTCCTTGTAAATTATGGCAATGTTGAACTTTAGAATATTGGTTGTATTCACTAATAAAAACAAAACCTCTTTTCACTAAATAGAGTCAGCGGTATAAATTATACATTCCCTTACCTTAATGTTTGGTTTGCTTCCATTAATCTAAAGAACGATGATATTTAATTGTATATTGAAGTATAATTATTTATTTGGGATAATATCATATAGGTCAAATATATCAGATGAATATTATCCCAAAACAAAAGGGATAATATCATAAAATTACACCTCAAAATTCTCAACCCTTTTGTAATTTTATGGACTGTACAAGTTAAGGTACTGGTTAAGGACCCCCTGGTGTATTCAATTGAGAATTTGAGAGATTTTAATGGATTTATAAATCCATGGATTTTTATGGAGTTTAATTGATTTGTAGAGATTCCATGTAAAATTTTGATTCAATTCCCTCGAAATCTCTTGGGGGAGGTGAGATTTGTGAATGCTCAAAATACACTACGAAATCTCTCCAATTCCCTCTAATTCCTCAACTTTCTCAAATTCTTTAAAATCAAATTCTAATTGAATATACCTGGAATGTTATAAACTTCTTTAAAATTCTAATTGAATACACCCGGATTTCTAAGGATTTTCATAAACTATCTTAAAATCCTGATTGAATACACATTGAATTTTAGAGAATCACTTAAATTCCTGATTGAATACCCCTAGATTCATTAAAAGAATTAAAATCCCTCAAAATCCTAATTGAATACACCCCCCTTAGTCTTTTGGGGGTTTTGATTCCAAGAAGATACTGAAAGCAGAGCGCGGAGTAACCCTCATCCTTTCATTTCTTCTTCATCGATACTCTAATTCGATTTGATTATATCTACTTATGTTTGTTGTGATCAATTTATTGTGTTGCAGATTGACTTAACCTCTCATATTGTGAAGGTTTTCTTGGCGTTAAAGGTATGGATTGTTCTGTATTGTTGGATTTTCTGTGTGGTAAATTGAACCCAGTTTGTAAAAATTTCAAAAGTTTGATGGATTAGGAATAAATTTTAAATCGTTGTCATGGTTTGATTTACAAATGGATGATCATGATTAATTTTTGGGTTTAATTTAGTTGTTGATGATTGTGGATGAGTTGTGAAACTTATTTTCTATTATGTTATCTGTGCCTGTTATGATGTTCTTATCTTGATTATATTTGATTGAGGTCATGATGATTTATGGGGTTTTTTTTTTTATAAATATGATCCATGTCTGAGCGTTCTGGTTAGCAGGCCTACTTAGTTGAATCAGCTAAGTTTCATGTCTGACATCGACGTACAGCTTCCCACTGCCTTTGGTATGTTTTCTGTTAATTCATAACTCATTTGAGTCTGTTTGTGCACTTGAATGCATGCCTGTGTACCTAGATGCCCGAGAGATCATTTTTTTTAATTGAATTCAATTGGGTAAGTTTTTTAATTGAAAACCTGGGTACCTAGATGCTCTAAAGATCATTTTTCAGTCATCGGTACAGGACTGTTATAATTTAGTAGTTGTGCAGTTTGAGAATTGGTGTGTAGTTGTCTGTGGAATTCAAACAATTTAAAGGTTACCGCATTCACATCTCATAAGGAGATATTGACATAGATAAATGCAGTAGATTAATGAGACCATCTAAAAATATGCACTGCATTCTGTCACAAGTCATTTTAATAACATTTATAATCTCATTTGTCATGCTAAAATTTTGGGCCTCTTTCTTTTAAATTTTTCTGCGTACCGAGTGTGAACATTGTTGATAATGTCATTGTTTACAATTCAGTCAGTGGACAGAACCTAGGGAAAGCGTGAAAGAGTATGCAGGTAATTCCTTTGTTTTGGGTGAGTCTCAATTAACCAGTGCATATAGTTTGGTTCATTCTGGCACTACTCATTCTAATAACATTTATAATCTCATATGTCATGCAAAAAAATTTTAGGCCTCTTTCTTTTAAATTTTTCTGCGTACCGAGGGTAAACATTGTTGATAATGTTGTTGTTTACAATTCACAGTCAGTAGACAGAACCTAAGGAAAGAGTGAAACAGTATGCATTTATTTCCTCTGTTTTGCGTGAGTCTCAATTGGCCAGTGCACCTATATTTGATAATACAATTTAATACATAATTCGAATGGATCAAGGACTTTTTATTGTTGAAATGTTTGACTGAAGCTTTTAGACTCGATCAAATAACCGTTTATAAGAGATTAAGACACATGTAGGACCTGTTGTAAAAGAAAAATAAACAAAGGTGAAATCATTGCTACAATTATAATTTGGAGAGAGTCCACTCAGCGTCCGAGTCCGACGGTTCGTGGCAAACTGAAATCATTTGCTCTTCCTCTTCGGCCTTCCGTCTCCGCCGCTCTGGTTGCTTTGCTGTGTAAGTAACACAACGACGGAGAAGCAGCCAAATGGCGCAAGCTAAAGAGTCCACGTCGTCGGGTCCGCTGACCCAACCCGACTTTGAAGATGTTTCCAGGTCTCCGCCAAGCTCCCCCAACTCCTCCACTCGCAAGGTTTGTCTGTCTCTCTGTCACCTTGCCGCCACTTTAGAAAACCTCTTCCCCAATTTGGAAATTGAATCATTTTGTTTTTGTGGCAGTTTGGGGATTTGATTAGAGCATGAAATTTGAAAGAAGCATAATTAATAGTTGAATGCTGAAATTTTCCTAATTAGCTTAGGCAGATAGAGAAATGTTGTATTAGAAACCTGCAAGAACAAGATGATTTTGGATTGAAAAATTGGGGGTTTGGAATTTGAATAAAATCATGGAAAGATATAATTGTTGGGTAGCTAGCTATGATTGAGGTTGTTATGATGGTAAGTCAAGGGGCTTGTAGCTCAGTTGGTTCCCGAGTTCGAATCCCCCTTCCCCAAGTATTTGCTTGTGTAAAAAAAAAAAAAAAAAATGCCAAAAACTTATTTTGATCTCTTGGATAAACTACAAATGGAAATGGGTAGTCTTGAGAAATGAATCCGCAGTAACAACTCGAAATGTAAAGTGTTGCTAATTTCTTCATACTCGTTTCAAGTTTGAAGTTCCATTTGTTGTGCAAATATTAATAGCTTACGCTTTCATGACCTCTATAAAGAATGTCACAAAAGGTTTGAAAAATGCTAAACAGAAGGGGGTGTAATAGTCCATGATAGTGGTGCGAAGTAGATTTTGTACCAACGGGTTTTAGGCACTTATGTTAGTTGTTTTCCTCTATCTAGTCTTATTTAAAGTCATCATTTACTGGATCTGTTTGTGCCGGAGTTTTTGTTGGTTGTTTTTCAATGCATAAAGTATACCAAACACCTTGTGTATTCAGTATACCATTTACCCTTGAATTTGATCAGGCCTGCTATGCAGTGCTTCAGAGTTGGGTCTCCAAGAAATTCATGACTGGATGGTAATGTGCATAAATTGGGTTTGGTTATTTTCTTATTATATAATCTTTTGTAATATATAAAGTTTGATCGTAACAACAAAAGATTTGAACTGTGAATTTGCAGTATGGTTCTCTTTCCTGTCACTGTTACGTTCTTCATCACTTGGTGGTTTGTTCAGTTTGTAGATGGTTTTTCCAGCCCAATATATGCCAGGCTTGGGGTTAGCATATTTGGTATGACTCCAAAGAGTTCTTACTTACATATGTTTCTGCATGTTTTGAAATACTAGTAATACTTTTGACCAAAAAAATTGGGGGAAATTCTGGTGGTACCATATGCCTTGAATAGGTTTTGTGGAAGTTTCCAAGTAGTTCAAGTTGCAGTAACTATCAAAGAGGAGCAAAAAATTAGAAGAAGGCCGATGTGAATCATCAAGCCTCTTATATACCATTTTTGGGTAGCATTTTTCAGTTCATGTGGGGAAATTTTTTACAATGTGGAGTGTCTTTAATTTATTTGGTCTAAGTAGAATCATATCTTAAGATCATACCAAGTTTTGCTGGATAATGGATTAAATGTTCGCCAATTTCATCGTGGGTAGTTAATTGTTTAATCTATGTCCTTGTGTGCTTCAGTATTGATTACTTCTTTTTTATTGTTGCAGGCCTAGGATTTGTTACATCCCTACTTTTTATATTCTTGATTGGTATTTTTGCTTCATCATGGATGGGTGAGACAGTTTTCTGGATTGGAGAATGGTTCATAAAACGATTGCCCTTTATGAAGCACATATACTCGGCCTCTAAACAGATTAGTTCTGCGATCTCTCCAGGTAATTGCCTTTATTTCGATTTATATGTCCATTCTTATATGTTCTTGTAAAGTTTTTGCATGGCTCCGTCCTAATTATTTTAGGGTTTATATTCTCCTCTATCACATCTGGGCTATAAAGGAGCTTAGCTACTTGCAAGCATGTTGGCCTCACTTGATAAAGGCTACACCTGAGCTCGTTTGTTCAACAGATGAACCAATCCAAGCTTAGCTTAGGCTTGTAAAAATAACAATCCAAGCCCAGAAATTAGTTGGTTAAATCATTAGGCTCACCAACCTATCTGAAGTGGCTCTTTGTATGATTTTTCCGCCAGAAAGTATACCATATAATGGTGAATTCTGATGCTTGAATGTTTTTGTCAACTCCCATGTAGGCTTTCATCACGCTGTTTGACTTAAGTTGAATAATCATGTGAACTTGAAATATAAGTTCCCTTGCTTGGGTACTAGGGAGACACAGATGATTCCCTATCTAAGATAAACCTCTGACCCCTGTTATTGCCATTGTAAAGAAAAAGTGGTGAGCGCACACATGCAATGGTCTTCCTAATTCAAACAAATAGTTTTGTTTATATTATTTGGTAGGCTGCATTAGTTTCTCCGGAGCTAGTAAAAGTTGGTGATGCCGTCTACTTTCTGAGTGTGTGGTTTGGTGCATGGTAGAATTAGTGTATTTCTGATATGGAATTCATTCAGTGCTTTTCTTTTCTTCGTCTCCATTTAGCTATACTCAGAAATTAATTCTCTTTCTATTGGACAGATCAAAAGACCACTGCTTTTAAAGAGGTTGCAATTATCCGTCATCCTCGACTTGGTGAATATGCATTTGGTTTTATAACATCATCTGTAACCCTTCAGGTATGTTGAACTGTCCAGCTATTAGACGATCTACCTTACACATGTTATGTTAGAACTTCATGTATAACCACCTCGACATAGTTTAATGTTCTATTTGTCAACAGATTGGTGTGTGTTTGGAAGAAGCAGGTATAGTTTGTATGTTCAGATTTTGTTTGTCCCAATTTTGACCTTGCTGGTTTTCCCCTTATATTAGAAGCTGGTGGTGGCTTAGTGGTTGTTAATGCACAAGAGAGGTATCTGTCAGATAAACTATTTGATCCCCTTGAAAAGCAGTTTCTTGTGTCTGAAAAAGGTTTCCTTTTTTGCTGTTCTTTCTCGAAAAAGTAACGGTTGGTTAGTTTTGGCACCTTCTCGGAAGTACAGAACTGGTTTCTTTGGCATTATTATTATCTTTTCCTATACAGTTCATGCGGGAGATTTTTAAGTTCATTAAATGTAAAGAATTTCTTAGAAGCAGGTGATGGATTATGTTGGTTGTTAATGCATTGGAGAGGAATAACTTTGGGAACAGCTATTTGATTCCCTCAAAAGACAGTTTCTTGTGTCTGAATAAAAGGGTTCTCTGTTTGCTTTTCTTTTGTTGAAAAAGAAAAGGTTGGCTAATTTTGGCACCTCCTAGAAGTACAAAATTGGTTTCTCTGGCATTATTTTATTTTTCCAAGTACAGTTCTTAATTTAAATGTCGTACCCAGTGCACAAGGCTCCCGCTTTACCCAAGTAGGAAAATACTATGGATATCACCAATTTTTACATGCAATCCGCAAAGCAATACTTAATTTAAAAAAAAAATGTATTTGGATAAGATTAACAGTTATATTGCAACAGCCTTCTAAAAGGAAAGAAAGGAACAGTTTTATGCAATATAAGCTGCAAATGAAAAATAAATAAATAGTAATAATAGAATAGTTGTGTTGTGATGGTTAGCAATGGAAAAAAAAATTAATACTCTAATAGTTAGATTTGGCTGTAGTTCATAATGGATTTTCTTATAATAACCATGAGTTACCTTTTGAATCTGATTGTTTTGTGGTTGATTACAGAGGGATGATGGAGACGAGGAGTTGTGTAGTGTTTATGTCCCAACAAACCATCTGTACATTGGCGATATTTTTCTTGTCAAATCTGAAGAGATCATACGACCAAATTGTCAGTTCGGGAAGGCATAGGTTTGTTTCCTCTTTTGTGGACATGCAGTCGTGCACCGTATAGTCTAATTCATTCATGGACGTGATAGTGTTGCATTAAATGTGTTTTGCTTGTGACTTTTCTATATTTTACTTATTCATAGAAGAAGAGGACACATATACATTATAACCAGTGCACAAGGCAAGTGCCTTCGCCCATGAGCGGTAGGTCTCGGGTTCGAGACTTGGGAGCAGCCTCTCCATAAATGGGGGTAAGGCTAGCCGACATTCACCTCTCCCAGACCCTGCGTAAAGCGGGAGCCTTGTGCACTGGGTACGACCTTTTATAGAAGAAGAGGACACATATACATTATAACCAGGAAAGCCTATGTTTAATATGGAGCAAAGATCGATTGGTAATTTACAGATGTCTTGTAGGTTTAGCAGACATGCTTTAATTTCTGTCAATAAGGTAGTATACTCAAAAAAGCTAAACAGGAATAAAGTTGACGAAGTAATAGCTTTAGATCAGGTGGCACTGAGAGAGAGGTGGGGTTAGGCCAAGATTCAAGTCTTGATGTATGCAAAACAAGAAACACTATACAGAGGAGGCCAAGAATAAAGTTGATAAAACTCGGCTTTCTGAAATAATATGTTTGTTGTTCGGGAATTTTAAGAGCTCAATGAAAAATGAAAAATAAATCAGTTTAAGTTGTATGCCAGAAAAAGCAAATCTTATCCTTTATCCTTGATTTGAATTGAGTGGAGGAAATTGGATTCAAGTGTTTTTGCTCAGGATGGTTTTGTCTTCGAACATGGTTCGACCCTTTTCACACTGATCCGATTACTTGGGGTATAGTGTATAAGTTGTCGTGCAACTTGATTGTTCTGCTCTTTTAACATGGACACATACATTTTTTGCATTTTCCCACTCCTTTCACTACTCTCCCAAAGGATAAGTCATTTGACTTGGAAGATGATTTTGTGAGCAATATTGTCATTTTTCCCTAGTTTTGAGCAGATGTTGAAGAAGTTTTGTTGAGTAGTACTATTATTTCATAACATTTTGACAATCGTTTCTCCCCTGGAATGCAGAGATCATAATCTCAGTTGGTATGACGATGCCACAAGTGATTTCCCCAATTGAAAGGTTTCCTCATCAGAGTGACAGGATTCCACCGAACAGAATGGCATCCCTTTAAAAACAAATGATACGGAGAGCTTATAGGACAGGCGCAGATGTACGCAACATGGTATGTTCCTCATACGGTAACTGCTCTGCTTGCTCACAAAACACGGCTAGACATGAGGACATGAGAAAACATGAGAAAACATGAGAAGAGCTTTATTTGTTTGTTCATGGATTTGTGGCTAGGGTTTGCATTTTGAATTTCGTATTGTATATTTCACTGCTATGATGTATATTCAGTATACCTTTAATGTTGAAATGAAATATAGAAATGCTGTTATGATGATTTCAGGGAAAGTATTTTCAAACCCCCATTTTCTCCCACTAAACACCACTCTATTTCTAGCAGTTTGATTGAGCAAATCAATGAAGAATCAACGGACATAAATTAACGCTGTTTTGAGTATAAAACATCATCAAATTACAATTCGTTATAAGGGGAATGCATACTTGCGTGTATGGAGCAAAGTATTTAAGTTGAAAAGTGATTTACAGTTTACACACGTCATTATTCTTTTCCTAGACATTCCTATCAATTTCTAGCTGTTTGATTGAAAAAATAAAAAATAATCAATGGATAGAAATGAGCAGGGTGTGTTTGAAAAAAAAAAAAAAAAAGAAGAAGATTTTTGTACATAGTTCTCAAGGAGCTGGAATAGCTCTAACCGCAAGGTTGAAGGTTCAATCCCTTCCTCTAGCGTTTACTTTTCCCTTGAGAAATGTTTATGTAGCTGAATGGCTCAGTTAAAAGTGTGTAAAACTGACCACTTAAAATGTGTCATTGAGGACTACAGTCTGATGGTATTTCTTTTCAGTTGGAAGTGATAGGTTTTAGTTCGAATCTTGTAGATTTTAAATTGTCTATTGTGTGATTTAGCCGAATTTTTCCTCTTGCTAATGAAAAAATATCGATGTATTTAAATTTAAAAAAAAAAAAGAAAAAACTAAAAGCCCATTTAATTTTGGTTCTATATAGCCCAATGCAAAGGCCACCATTGCCTCCAACTCGTCTCTTTCTTTTCCTCCAGCACAAGAAAACACTCGGCATTCCTTCTTCAGCTCGATCTCACTCTCCGTTCTTCATCTCGACTTCTTGTTCTTCGTCTGTGCGCAATCATCAATCTCCAAGGTATTTTAACAACCCCTAATTTCTCCCAATATTTTCGATTTACATCACCCAGTCTATGAAATCAAACAAGTTTTCGATTTCTAGGGTTTATCCTGGAACACGATCATCAATTTAATTTTTCATCTGAATTTTGTGCTTCTCAGAGGTGGACTTTAAGAGCTAGCTATGAAGCTTGACACTAGCGGTCTCGAATCACACGCGCCGCATCTCTTCGGCGAGAGCAGTGGGTTTCTCGACGGCGTTTCCGGTCCTCCGTCTTTCGAGGTTCCCACTACCAATGATGTGAGTTTCCATATGTTTTTAGTGCTCTCTTTTCCGTCGTGGTTCCTAGTCTCCTCTGTGTGGTAGAATTTTTGGCTGATTTTTGTTTGTGTGTTTTTTTATTCTTCTGCTGTTTCAGTTTGATGGATTTCAGAAGGAAGCTATCCAGATGGTGAAGCCTGCAAAGGGGACAACCACGCTTGCATTCATCTTCAAGGATGGAGTCATGGTTGCTGCCGATTCTCGAGCTTCAATGGGAGGCTATCTGTAAGATGCATTGCTTTATCACATATATTATGACATAATTGTATGCTTTGCTTTGTGCCATCAAGTGTTTGTGATGATTTAAGTTTTCGAGTGATTTTGATGAAGTGCTCTATTAATCGAATTGGCATATTCCCAGAGTGGATATTTTATGTCTGCATACCAGTGTACCTTGTCATGTTAGTGTAGGTGTCCTATTGTGTCTGTCATGTCTGCATACCGATGGATCTTATCTTTGTATACGGAACTTGGGTTCACATTTACAATCTTCTTCCTTATCTTTTCAGCGTCACAATCTGTGAAGAAGATTATTGAAATCAATCCGTACATGCTCGGTACAATGGCTGGAGGAGCTGCTGACTGCCAGTTTTGGCACAGAAATTTGGGGATTAAGGTAATGCATTTATTGTGTTTTCTTAATTTGAAGTTTACAACTTTAGACTTGTCATCTATAATTCTTTTCGAAGGTCTGGACTTGTATCTATTCTATGCTCCGTATACTTTCATGTTGCTTGTACGAGGACTTGGATCATCAATATGATTGAGAAACTTATCACGACGGGAATTGTATTGTAGTGTAGTGGTGTCATATTTATGTTCACTTACAAAGGGGATAACAATTGTCTTGTTTAATTCGAGTTATACTAACAACCAATTGTTTTGTAAAAATCAGTGTCGGCTTCATGAGTTAGCAAATAAGCGCAGAATTTCTGTTACTGGAGCATCGAAGCTGTTGGCAAATATTTTGTACTCTTACCGCGGAATGGGTCTCTCTGTTGGGACCATGATTGCTGGCTGGGACGAAACAGTAAGAAGATACAAATCATGTCACATGAAATTTTGTCATTTATACTCATGTAATGTGTATCCTTGTTGGAGTGCAGGGTCCTGGACTGTATTATGTTGACAGTGAGGGAGGCCGTTTGAAAGGAATGAGGTTTTCTGTTGGTTCGGGCTCGCCTTACGCTTATGGTGTTCTGGATAATGGGTGTGTGCTTCACTTTCACCCCTTTAGTTTTGTTTGTCTATTGGTGCAATGATGTTGAACCATTTTTTCTGCATTGTCTTTTCTAGTTGTCTTTATTAAGTATTTAACACAAGAATAGCAAGTGCATAGGATTTCTCTACATAATAATCACAAGCAAGTGTTTAGGATTTTGGTTATAGATACGAATCACAGGCAAGTGGTAGTGTAAAATGTACACGTTTCCTTACTTTGAACATCCTCGCTGTTTGAGAAGAAAAGTTTGAAATAAAATGAATTTGAAAATAGATTTGGAAGGAGTTGCGAAGGTGGGAGATGTAACTTGTCTACTTGAAATTTGCTTCCCTTATGCACTGGCCCACTATGCTTTTCCTTTGCTTTGCTTTTGGTAGAGGTTCAATTAGTAATCAGGATAACTGGCATATGGGAATCATTTAAGCCCCTTGCCCTGATGTTATGGTTGTAGCACAAGCACAGCCATGCTTGTTGTTTACCTTATCAGAAATTGAAATTGTCTTTCAATGCCATTGATTATGGCATTCCGTCTTGCCTTATCAAAAATTGCCTAGGCATTCCCTTCTTTCATCATCTATTGTATCAAATATATTAAAGTTTTCTCTGAGTTCTGGCCACTTGCAATTTCGTCAGTATAGCTGAGTTTTATTTGTATGCAGGAATTATCTTACTCTCTGTATACTTTGTTATGCACCCGTCATTCTTCTAACTCAAGTTGATTATGCTAGGTACCGGTATGACATGTCAGTCGAAGAAGCTGCTGAGTTGGCTAGAAGAGCTATCTATCATGCAACATTCCGTGATGGGGCCAGCGGGGGAGTGGCAAGCGGTAACTCTCTCTCTCTCTCTCTCTCTCTCTCTCTCTCTCTCTCTCTCTCTCTCTCTCTCTGCGCACATTCATGACTTTTATTTGTTTTTGAACTGGGGTGTTTTTTATTAGTCTATCACGTGGGGCCAAACGGATGGAAGAAGCTGTCCGGAGACGATGTTGGCGAACTTCACTACCACTATTACCCTGTAGTGGCAGGTTCTGTTGAGCAAGAAATGGTTGAAGTCTGATGGAAAATGGGAATACCAACGGTAGGATTTCATGGCCGATTCTGGGTTTATATGTGAAACTGTTTGTTGTATTAGGATTTCTAAGTTGACGTCACAACCTTCTGATCATTATTACATTCAATTGCGGATTTCATATAATTTGTTGGTGATGTTATTTCATTTGAATTAGACAGCTGATCACATTCGTGTCCGGTTTTTTTGTTCCCGCTATTCCATCTGTTGGTGTTTGTGTTCAGCAGATTGTGTGCATCCCCTTGGGTTTATCTCAAACCCACCTCCCTCTCTCTCTCTCTCTCTCTCTCTCTCTCTCTCTCTCTCTCTCTCTCTCTCTCTCTCTCTCAAGATCAACCTTGAGTTTCTCATCTAATCCAATTGGCCTCCCATACTTAGCGACTCCGACAGACGTACAAGCCCTTTTGATGGACTAGGACTCAACAAATGAGATTCAAGAACAGAGAAAATGTTATAACGAACTTGAAATAGAGGATACATTATATCAAACAGTGATATATTCTAACAATGAAAATGTTATAAAGATAAATTTATACTGAACGTCAACAACAAAATTATTGAGTAAACTTGTTAAAAAAATTAATGAAACTTCGTAATTGAGGCTTACATGAATGCAATGTATGCAAAACATATACAACTCCTCTTAATCAAATTAGAAGCATATGACTCCCGGAGAATAGAATTTCATATCGGAGATATAACTAATATCAGGTTTGCATGTAAACCAATGGAACATTACGAAGTTTAACTACTAGTTTTTCATTCAAATTGTTAAACTAAATATTTATATTAAATAATTATTATAATATTAAATCCAACATAAACTAAACAACTAACCACGAGCTAGTGGTCTTAAAAACTGGTCTTGGGTTCAAAACCCGCTGCAAGGCTGGAAGCCAGACTTGTGGCCAGGAGGAAGGTGAAATACTTCTGTGACTCTTCCCGGCTCCCGGAAGAGGTGGTTAACCATGGCTCGCCACCAATTGTCTCCCTTTTTAGGAAAAAAAAAAACATAAACTAAACAACTAAAAATAAAATAGTTATCAAACGATTCCTAAATTATTTGATATATAATGTTCTTCTAAAGCATGTCTAAGGGTAACAGCAGAAATGCGCGCTTATATGGGCTAATAGGCTCCAGTTATCAAGAGTAGAGATTCAGAGAGATTCTAAAATTTTGATACAAGTTCTTAAAAAAGCGATCAATGTGCCTTGGAATATACGATCAATTGTCCAAGATATTTGGTATGTAATGAATTATATATCATCACTCTTTATCCGCCATATCTATTGCGACAAAAATATGGTTGTCTTGTCCATCGAGAATCTTCGTTGCAAAATTTCTCAAGTGTTTAAAAAATAAAAATAAAAAGTAATGCATGTAGGTTAGGCAGTTGCCCATTCTCAAGGGAAGAACTCCTTTATATCCGATAAGATTTAAGCAACGGGGACATGGATGTTTGTCATTTGACTCATATATATCTTACCTATAAAATTCTTACAATTCACATCGTTTGATTTTATCATACAAAAATGAAAAGCATCATCAGTTCTTGTAACTTCAAAAAGGTTGTGTTTTTGCTACAGATCATCTTCTTCGTTGAAGCCCAACATTTCTGTTGTGCTGATCCCACTTCTGGATTCACACCTGTGCATTTCACTGCACAAAATCGAAAGTTGCAGAAGCCGTATAACAAGTCTCCTCATGAGCGTTACGGTAATAAAGATGGAGTTGAAAAGTTTTGGATCTACAACCACGACAAGCCCTTTCAAAAGCACAATCCAACCAGGCCACGCTCCGAAATCAGAATTTCTGTATGTATCTTTGTCCTCTCTCGCTTTCTCTTATACTTCTAGGCTTATACCGACCTTTGCACGTTTGGAACTGCTTTTGTACGAAGCGCTTTTATTACAAGCACACATCTTGACCCAGAAACACTTTATTACAACATCAATCAATGTCCAATATTGTGATCTATTTAGGCTTATATTCTCTCCATTTGAAAGTGCTCTTCGAAGTTGTTCTGTCAAAGATAGTTAGAAGCACTTTTGGTTGTCCACAAAGCATTTTTCAAGTCCCATTGAATTTCTTTCTTGTATATTAGGGAAGTTGATTTCATTTCATGTGTGGACTTTGTTGTAGGGGCATGACTACACTTCCGGGGTTTGGCAATTTGAAGGCAATTTTCTTGTCCCACAAGGCACCTCAGGGGTCACAATAATGCAGATATTTGGTTCATCCAAACAAGCGACAGCTCTGCAACTGAGGGTCTATGATGGGGATTTGAAGTACTATGCTCACAATGTGGTAGCCCCTAATATCTACGATAAGTGGGTTAGGCTGAATGTGATTCACAACGTTGCTGCAGGGAAAGTGACAATTTTTATCGACGGCAAACGGAAGTTTGTCGCCAGAGATCACGGCCGAGCAACCTTTTACTTCAAGTATGGAGTTTATGGAGCCTTATCTCGTTCAAGTAACTACATGCAATCAAGTTGGAGAGGAATCAAACTTTTCAAAAAATGAAATATATATCCATTGAGGGAGAAGAGAAGGGGGAGCTTGATGTACAAAATACTAAAATAGTTTTATACAATTATTCTTGCCCGCGCGTTGCACTGGGTCGAGAAATTTGTCATGTAAATAAAGAAATATACTACAAGCTTTAATACCATGTATTTGTGCAAGAAAAAGAATAAGAAAAAGAAATCTTGTTTATTCTCTCCTCATAAGCACAAGTAAAAATGTCAAAATGTGCCTGGGACCATCCTGGTCTCTTCATGAATCCGCCTCTGATAGTCTCCCTAGCATTTTCCTTTTGTGGAATAGTGACCAACAAAAGTATGGGATTCACGTTTGTGACATGTAATGTAAGCAAAAACCATAAATTTAACAGAACGTGCAACAGATTGCAACTCAACAAAACATTCGAGGTCAATATTACAATATTGTGTAAGGGGGTAAATCTCAAAAGGGAGGGAGACCAGTTTTGTGTAACATTCATTGAGGGAGGAGGAGGGGGAGCTTGATGTTCAAAATATGATTGCAGATGAAATTGCTATTTTAGGAGCATAATTACAACAATATTTGTGAAAAGTTGAGACTTTGACGAATACAAAGTGGCCACTAATCGTGGATGACGAATTTGAAATCAATTTATTAATTGTCTCACTTTTATATATCATCATTGTATAAAAAACGAATATAAAGCGGTGTCATTAAACCTTCGGCAGGAGAAATCTATAAAGCAAAATCTTAGGCAAATAAGAAAAAGTGGCACGTACACGCTCCAGCAAGTCTGCAAACAAATAGTCAAAGACAAAAACCCAAAACTGGCATACAATCATGGTTGATTTTTCTTTGTTAATAGAGCATACAATTTGTTATGACCAATAAAATGAAATGCACATTTTTGTTCCCATAAGATTAAGCACAACCAGTTGTTTTTACTAGTATCCATCGCTCTAGTTGCTCCAATCCCAACTTTTTTTCTTCACCTTATTTCATATCTTACTCTTGATTTTGATCTGTCGCAAACCATGTGTTCTTTTATACAAGTGATATTTACTTTACAAAATTTTAAACTACGGCGGGAAATAAAACTCAAATACATGATGGAGCACATTTGCTCTAAACAAAAACTTTCTTCATTCCCTATACTCTATTATGTCTCACTTTGTCCCCGTGCTCTTCTTTAGTGTTTCACTTTGCCCATTCTGTCAACTAAGTTGAGAAAAACGTTTAGTTTTATTCATATGGTATGGGCTCTTTGGTATTTTCAACAGTAAATATAAGAATACAATAACGAAATTGTGAGTTTATAATGACAACTTAATTTTGGCCAAGGTTATAGTTTTTTTGTTTCCCATGCTAGAGTGACTTTCGTGGATTCAGATGGCCAAATGTGAGAACTAGTTTTAAAGACCAAAAAGTCCTTGCCACCCAAACAAAACTAATAGCTCCTTCAACCTAGTTGACAAGATTAGATAAAGTGAGACACCATAATCGTGTTAATGAGAGAGTAAGAATTTGTGTATATCTAAAAATATAATATCGTTTGTTAAAAAAAAAAAAATATATATATATATATATATATATATATAATGCACGTGTTATAACATAAGTGAATTAGTTCTTCTGTATCATGTAAATTTTTTAATATAAAATGGTGACGCAATCCAAATCCAAGTTCCAACACAAAACTACTGAATTAGGATTTACAACTGTTGTGTTTTAACAATGAAAAAGAATTTGCAGAATTAACTCGAATGCTGTGTTTGATAAGGTGAACTTCTGCAAGTTGGCGAAACCGGTTAACAAGTTTTGATCTGAAAGACTGGAGGGCAGTAACAATTTCAGAAGTTCACGTTATCAAACACATTCAACTGGTCTCACCCTGAAAAGGCATCTCTCCCAGCAAAGTTTGAGGCTCACCGAACATAGAAGGAGGCCGAGTGTGCGTAGAATCATGGTAATTAAATAGTTCGCCAAGATCATCCAGCTCCAAATATTGCCCATCGTCACCTCGCGGCATTTGACCCGTAGCACAGACAGAATTAGGCAAACTGGAGAAACTACATCCATCTTCACCTACTCTAGCCACCTTGCCCAAATCTCCTAAAGTGACGTAAATATCATTACTAACGACGTGAGGTGTAGCACTAGCATTTCCGATAGGAACAACATTACCAAGCTCCTGCAAATCATGAAGAAGTTTTACATTAACATACTTCAGAAGTTGAAAGAACACTTGCAAGATAATTTATTTGTACTAATGTACTTGCGGAATTCAAATTCGTTCTATAAACAGATACAGATGCTTGCATATAAGATATTCAAGATGCTCCAGTATACAATGAAATTTTCAAAAACGAAATTCAAAACCATCAACTTTGCAAGTTACGCCACCTATTTATAAACTCCGACAGTCCCGCCATCCAATTTTAAACTCTAGCTTCAACAAAAATAACATCTGTACTATAATTATTAACACTGACTTCATGGTTCCAGCTTCCACATAAAAAGGCTAATTTGTATCTTTCGACAAGCTCATTGACATCAGTGGCAAAGGCAAAAAAGAAAACTACAAATGCATTGGAAAGCTATAGCATGAGCATAAAGTGTGTCAACATGAACCTGCCTCAATTGTATGGTAGCGACTATTCCACCACTCAAAAAATGTAAATTCATATCATGATTGGCAGTCCCACTAACAACTAAATCATGAATGTTATAAACTGTTTAGAGAGGAGAGATGGGTGCAATACGCACCTCATTTTTTTCGTTTTCTTTGATTAAGGAAGGGCTTTCTTCCGAGAAGCAAGCCAATATTGACAGGATATCATCATCATTGGAAGTATGAGGCTCCTCAACTGTAGCATGATTACTGGAAACCAGTTGGGGAACATGGCAAGAAAGTGGTACAACATCTGATATGCACGATTCAGATGAAGAACGTATGTGTATACTTTCATGGGAATACGTGCTATTGTAGTTACTCGGCAGCACAAGGTTTGGTTCAGGCATATTTGCATGTGCGACTGCTTCTGAACAATTTTCAGCCTCATCATCACTCCAGTCTTCCTCCATAAGGGGCGCACCATATTGTGCACCATTTTTTGGCCCTGGCCCTTCTTTTTGAAAAATGGTACAGAGCACATACGATTCCTGTAACATGAAAATGATAGAAAAAGTAATCAACACCGACTAGCCATCCAAAGCAGTATAACAAATTGTACAAACTAACAGACCAATTCAGAAGCAAGAAAATAATTCTAATCGGTTGAAACATTCAAGAATAACTAATCTTTACAAAAGGAAAGTATATTACAAACTCATTGCAGAGTGCCAAACTAATTTAACAGAAAACAAGGAAGAATACAAAATTATGAGAGGAAAAGTATCATTTACCTGAGGCACGCCACGATTAGCTAGGTCCTTAGATTCAAGCCTATACTCATGCATAACCCAGTCTGTTCGCTCTCCTTTTGGAGCTCGACCTGTATGAAAAATCAATGTTTTTATCTTTCCTGCAACTTCACCATTGTAAAGAACAGATCTGTCATTTCCCGTGGCCTTCCAGTACCCACGTTCAGTTGTACGTTTCGCTCTAGCCCCAGTTGGATACTTCCTTTCTGTAGGACAAAAGAAGTACCATTTTAAATCTCCACTTTGCCAGCTAGATTTTTCTGAAAAATAAAAGCACAACAGTCAGAAACTACATAACACAAAGCAGGAAACCCAAGGAAAGGCAAGAAAGAAGATAAGTTAAAATGACATATTACCTGGAAGATCCCAAGGAGCATACTTATGAATGTCGACCTCTGCAACAAAGTTATAAGGGAGTCTTTTCCCCATTACTTTCCTCTTCAAATAATATTGTACAAGCTCTACATCAGTTGGACAAAACCGAAAACCAGGAGGCAACGATGATTTCCCTTTCCCCATCAGAAAATACAAATGTACACTCTCAACTATCTGACAATAGCCTTAATTCCCAATGTGGAAGTTCATCACAAAATGCGAAGAAAACAGCGCCCCTCCCTCAAGTCCAATGATGGAACAAGATCTTCCGCAAACACGAGAGCATACCTTGGTGCATAAAACAAAACAATCGAATAATTGATGGTTGTTTGTAGTAGTTGATCAAAAGACATTGGATGCACCCCTGTTATCCAACATTATTAGACACACACACACACTCAGAAAAAGCAGCAGAAAACTAGAGGAAAAAAAACATAACAGAACTTGATATCTGGAAAACATAATTCGGGCTATGAACTCATTAAAATTGAACCGATGAAAGCAACACATTTCACATTTAAGATAACGAACCCTATACAAAAACTAGACACGACAATTGTCAACAAAAAATTAAATAATAAAAAAAGAAGGAAAAATCAAACCTAGATCATAAAACCATCAGAATCATCTTAAACAATTAAACCCAAATAGTAAAAACGATCACGAAATCCGGACAAGGGTAATTAAAACCCAACAGAACCCTAGCCCGCAAAATCAACGTCCTTTAATCCACTTTCATCATCTTTCCACATTCACATCCGGAATTTACCAAATACTCAGTACGGGACACTGCAGATAGAAAAACCCTAAATTAAGAAAAAGGAAAGACATTTCATAGCATAGAGAGAAAGAGAGCGTGATGAGAAAAACCTAACGGTGAAATCATCAGGGCTTGGCGAGAGAACGAAAACAAAATGATCAAAACCTAAAAAGAAAAGGAAAATGCTGAGGTCGACGTAAACAGTGAACGAAGAGAGAGAAACGTACCTTACGATGGGGGAATTGGCGACGGCGGAAGGAATGGGGGGAGCGGCGTCGATGGCGGGAATGGGAGGGCAGGAGTGGAAGCGCAAACTGGAGGAGAGAGCTGCTTCGGGCGAGTTCAGGGGTACTTGTTCTCCATGATCGGGGTTTATGGGGTTTAGGGGTTTGAATTCTCTGACAAAAATGTTTCTTTTTATTATTTTATTTTTTGACGTAAATGAAACGGGGTTTTTATCGACATTCTGGCCTGACCCAGATATAGATGGGCTTTAAAATCGTCTGCCCAAATGCAGCCCAGACCTAGATGCTATGCTCTCTCAACTTGCATCTTCTTTCGATTTTCTTACTCAACTCTCAATTTTTTATTTTTTAATACAATCATACATTTACGCGTTCATAAGATTCGAACTAATGATCTCTTTCTAACAACTGAAGAAAAATAATACCAAATTGTAATATCAAGTGGCTATTCAACTCTCAATTTGTTTCTTAATCATTTTAGAGTGTGTCAATTTCTTCACACCACATCTTAATGCATCACATTTTATTTTTATTATTTGCGCTATGAGAAAGGGAGAAAATAATTTCCAATTTGATAAAAAAAATTAACAGACTTGACGGTAGGGACAAACACAAAGTTGGCAGCTTTCCAAGGATGGGGGTTCTCTCCCCTCTTGTTTTCGTTTCCCTCCCCACCTCTCATAGTTTTTTTTTCATCACTTTTCCTCTACTTTTTTTTTCTTCTCTCTCTTTACAAAAATGAAATCTTGAGCGTTCAAAAAGGATGACAGGGAAAAAGAGGAAAAAAAAAAGGAAAGAGAATCTTTGTCCACTTCTCAAAGCGCTTAGATATGTTGTTTGCACGCTCATCGAAATTCCTCATTTCACATTAGTGGGAATTAAGAAACTGTTAGTTTAGAGATAGGTAAAGTACCAAAAGACAAAAATAAACTTTTCAACCTGTTAACACAAAAAACTGGTAAGATAACAAGTAGTGGTACATGGTGGATGATATGGTTTAAAGTAAGAGTGCAATTGGTTGAACGAGTTAGATGGTCAACCCATTCCTAACAAAATTCCTAATTCGAGTTTGGGTTGAGTTAAGGTTCATGCAGGTTTATTCAGGTTTGAGTTTAAATTGGATCCGACCTTACTCAAGTTAGGTTCAATTTTGTGTAACTTTATCAAGTTCAATCTTATAACACATTATTTTATAAGATAAACTGATCTCAAATTTTGAACCAAAAAAACCATTTAAAATTCAATTTTACACATTATCAACCATACAAAAGATAAACCAAATAGCGTGAGACAAATTTCTAAACATGCAAATTTGAAACTAAATTACAAGAATACCAAAGTTTTAACCAAAAGAAACGTAAAAGAAACACTATCATTTAGTGTTCAAATGAAAACCAAACAACAAACATCACGTATAGCCCTTCGAAACTTTGTAACTAGCTTATATAATAGAAATGGATGGGTAACATGTGCATAAGCAATTCAGGCAACAAATGGAGTTAGGTTTGGGTCCACATGGGTGGGAAAACCATCAACTGGACCCAACCCAATAAATAATTTGGTTGAAGTCGTGTTGAGTTTGTGCGGGTGTTTACTTCCTTTTAACCTGTCCCATTCATTCTAACCTGCCCGATTGGTTTGAAATCGGCTTGGGTATGGACAGATTCAGATTGGCCCAACCCAAGTTGCAGCCCTAGTTTTGAGTAAGAAAACCAGGAGGTTGTAGGGTTTCCACCTCGTTTCTTAGGTGTCTAAGGTTTGGAGGTTCTTTCACCTAAATACAAGAAGAAAACAAGAATCAAAGGGTATATGTGTGGCACCGGCCTAGCTGCTCTGATGTCTTTGACAATATATAAGAGGTAGAGAATAATCTAGGGATAAGAGAGATAAGGGTTTGTATTCTTACATTTTTGCTTAGCCTTCTTTAGGTATTCCCCTCCATCTTATATAGGCCTCGGCATACAACAACAACGACAACAACCAAGCCTTATCTCATTGGGCCTCAACACGATTCTAAAAAAATATTTTCCCTCAATCCTAGAAACACCATGTTCAAAAATAATCACAAAGCATCAAACAATTAAAATTTGGAGTGCATTAGCTTTTGAAACAGGTGCAGGTATCAACCGGAGCCTAGCATCGGTAGCCAGTTCAATGTAAAAACATTCTACTACTACGTTTGATAAGAAAATGGAACATGCAATATATGTGAGACCATCAAACAAACATTAAAGCAAGAATCATAACACTTCTTTTAGATCACTGAAAACAGCTGCAAAGATAAGCACAATATAAATCCTCAAATGCAAATCCCAGCTCGAACGAGTACAAACATACACAGCATCTTCCATATACACCGCAAAATTTAATCAGCCACTTAAATCATTTCCAGAACCAAATAAGTCATCACTTTCAATCTCGGAAGCAAATCACCCAATGCCTAACAAATGAGAATATAAAATTGCAAGCAAACATAGCAAAACCAGAAATGGCCACTGCCAAATATTTCAATATTATCGAATCTATCTTTACCTAGAGTTCAGTTCCAAGTAATCCCAAAAGTGTACTGGACAATTATCGAAGTATTGATGCTAACTAAATGGAACCTCTGGAGTTTCAAGCAAAGTTCCGATCAAAATGAGGACGCGTGTTGTGTCCTTTTACATGGCAAACTCATAATGAGTCAAAAAGTAACTGTTCCACGAATGATGAAACAAATTTATAAGGCAAATTGTAACTTCAAAGTTTTCAACATGTTCAGAATGTGTACATTACCACAGTACAACAATTATTCCTTTCTCACAGTATACAATTAGACCTTCACCTACCTCATTTCTTATCAGTTCAGTGACAACTAAAGCATTGACATGCGATTTTGAAGGCATGATTCTATGATCTCATAGGCTAGTCCTGTCCAAGAATAAATCATCAGAAACATCTAAATTTAGTGTGCCGTGAGGTTTAATTCATCTCCGCTGTGGTTTAGCAGGTAGGTGAAACCGGACATCCAAAGTGCAAAGTCAGGAAAGCCGCAAAAGTACAGACAAAGAAACCTAAATGAGGATAGTTTGAAAGAGAATCCCAAGCCACTAGAATCTTTTGATTACAACCAGAAAGCAAATGGAGAAGATTACCAATTTCCAGCATAAGGTTTGAGATATCCAATCACTTAGACTTCTTTCCTTGCTTCTTCTTAATAACTTCGTCGACATACATTATACCCTTTCCCTTGTAGACCTCGGGTGGCTTACAACTACGAACAGCGGCAGCAAACTGGTGCACCCTATCTTTATCAATTCCGGTGCAGCAAACTACATTGTTCTTGAAGCAGAAAACCCGAACAGCAGGAGGAACGGTCAATTCAACCTCATGACTGTAACCCAATTTCAGATACAACATGCGTCCTTCGGCTTCCGCTCGGGCCTTGTAACCCACACCCACAATCTTAAGAAATCGAAAAAATTTGGCTTCCATTTGAATAGATGCTCCTGAAAACACCCAAACCCAGTAATCATTTCGTCTTACTGTTATCAAATTGAGCTAATTAAATTCACATTTCAAACCACATGCAAGCAACATCCACGTTCCAATACAAAAAACTGGAAAACAAAATAAAAAACCCAGAAAATATTATAAAAATTCAAAATTTTGATGGACCCAAAATTTCCTCAATCTCACCGAGCACTAAAAATCCAGCAAATGAGTATATGCATGTTTGTTTCTTTATGTATGTATAAATGTGTTTATATATGTAGAGAGAGAGAGAGAGAGAGAGAGAGAGAGAGAGTAAACAACTGGAGATTATTGCAACCAGTAAGAGGTCTTAGGCATACCCTATTAGCTGCAGAGCCCCTTAGAGTGCGGCAGTCGGCGGAAGGCGTAAGGCGGAAGGCGGAAGTTTTAATGGGTTCAGAGGAGGAGGAGACGCTTTGAGTGTAAAATCGAAACTTGGTTGGGGATGTGAAATAAATTGGACTGCATTGTTGATTCAAAGCCCAATGTTTGTTCTCTGGATCGGACCTAAAGCCCAATATTTTCAGCATACTTCATTGGGCTAATTATCAAATTGTTGAAGCGCTGATCCAATGCGGTAACCGAGTGATTCCCGCACTTTTTTTTTTTGACCTTTTACACTCTTTTTCTTATGAACTCCCGTACATTTGTGGTAATTGGTATGAAATCATAAAATTTACATTACTATACCATGTATAGTTATTGTCACGTTGAGAATCTGAGATATTTAAGTGCGACTATTAGAATTAGACTTAGCAAAATCGTGCACTACTCGATAACATGATACAAACACGTGAAAAAAAATCAATATATAAGTCGAGCCTTAAGGGGTCATGTTGATAACAAATGGACTCGTTAGTGACTCATTAAGAAATTAAGTTAATGTATTTTATTTTTATTTAAGATATTGAATATATAAATTGGATATGAACATTTTTGTCAATTAATGATTTTATCTCTTTCAATGTTTGGTTATACACATTGCTTGTCACACGGTTGGTTGGGGATTTGAGATGGAGTATTTAGGCTGAATTACATAATCAGTCAATCATAATAAGATATTGAACTCACAAAGGCTAAGAATGCACTACTAGATTTACAGCGTTATTTGTGTCATATGATTTTTTTACTTTTTGTGTTATTAAATGTGAATCGGATAGTGTGAATATTGTGAATTACCTTTTTGACCACGACAACCCACCACTTGAAAACGTACGTTTAATCTTAAAGTAACTGTTGGGTTGGTTGAATTGCAAACGTAAATTAATGTGTTACTATTTAAAGGAAATTTGGTGTTTTGTTTCATATGTTCTTCATTAACTAGTGTTGGTTGCATTGTCACGGTCCTCAACTGATCACAAATAAAGTGTTGCTTGCATATCAAGGTCGGTTTATGCTTTGTGAATATGAAATAGTCATATAACCAGAAAAATTAACCATAATAATTACAGCAATGCAAAAAAAGTTGCCGCCAATCGGTTTAATTTTGTACATAATTTTGTTTAATTAATTAACTTTTAGTTTGACTTCAAACAACTTCAGTTGCTGAACCAAATGGTTGAGTCTCACATAGGTTAGTTTTCTCGTACAAAAGTTTTTTCATACCGCAAACAGGTATTCGACGTCCTATATCAATTCTTTCTCCTCCAGGGCCGAGGGGAGAGCGAGAGTCGAACTTTGATCAGAGTTCTTTCGTTGCTACCCGCATGCAGAAATGGTTGCTCCAGAAACCAATTATACTCATCATCAAGTACCCCAAGTAACCATAACAAAAGTTTTTCTTTCGTTGCTTGCTGTTCTAGGGTTTCTTCTCTACTTGTTTGCCGGTCTTGTGTACATGTCGGAAACCTATTCTCCGAAACCCAGATCCCTTAAAGTGCTCTTGCATTCTTTGACGACATCAAACTTCCATCTCAAATCCAGACAGCCATTGAACGCCAGCGAATGGGAATCAACCATAACGATAAAGAACTACCACGCGGACAACATCAAAATACTCATCAACAGCCTCGAGAGCGTCCTTTATTACAAAGACAAAGCATTTTCATGCGCGTCGCAGCCCAAAGTGCCAATACGAATTCAGAGCCATAAGCAGCGGACAGTGAACCTGATATTTAAGAATTCATCATGTCCGGATGGTCCTTCTTCGAATCCAGCGCTAAATGACGAGGCGATTAGAGAAAGGTGCAGATCAGGGCGTGTGAGGTTGAGCATGCAGATGAAGATGGTGCTTGCATCTGACATTATTAGATCACCTTTTTCTGGCAGATTTTCAGTTCTTGATTATAGGTATTTAGAGGCATTGCATGTTGAGTTTGTGCATGGAATAAGAAAGGGGAGATTGGTTGGTGGTGATGTACAGATGAAGAGAAATTCCACTTTGTCAAGTCACGCTTATTAGTCAATTCCTTTTAGATTACTTACTTGATTCTTTTTTTTTTTTTTCATATTATTTTTCTTCGACGTTTAGGGTTTAGGGTTAATTGAAAGGGTGAATAGATTTCTTGTTCGTAATCAATCAATTTTTTTCTTTCTAACTTATTCAGAAAACCAGAAATTCAAGTTTGAAACTGTGTAGGAAAAATAATGCATGGAAAAATGGATGATTTTCTGGTGATCATACATCTGTTCTAGAGTTAAATTCTCCAAACGTATATATTTAGACTAGGTTGAGTTTTAACAAACTAAACGTAAACTCAGATTATAAGCGGTGGACATATTACATTTTCATATTCAACTCACTGTGTCCCAGATTTAATTATTCGCCTTCCCGTAGTATAGCTTACTAGCATAAGATAGCCTTGCCAATCTTGATGGCTGACTCCAAAATTTAGGAGACAAAATTATATGCGGAGAGAATGAGATCTACGCTGATGCCGGTGAATACGTCAAGCATTCAGAGGGTCTTTTGGGAGTTTGAGGCAAAAAGGGGATGGATGATTCGAGATCACAGAGGAGGAAGATGTATTAAGATTTGAGAAAGATCAGAGATGGATTAGTGGTCCGTCACTAATCACACTGACAAAGTCCCAAACTTAATTCATTACTTGTGAATTCAATAAATGTAAAGTTTTATCATAAAAAATCGTGATGAAATAGGAGTTAAGACAATTTGATTTAAGTTGTGGTTTGTTATGCAATCGTGTGAGACTTTTTTACTTTATTCAGCTAAAAATTCTTCAGCACCCCTACCATTATGTCCACCATATACTACCACCATCTTGCCATTGTCGTCACCACTGTCACCACCCTTACTAACCTAACATTGTGATGCCACTACCACCATCTTTCCATGGCCGTTGCCACAATCTTGCCATGCTCATCACCACCACCGTCCACTTCCACCTCTAAACACAATGTCGTCTACAAGCACAACCATCACCACACCCCTTGCCATGGTCATCAGCACCTCTAGAGACTTTGGTTGCATCTACTACCACCATTTCACCCACCACCTCTGCTACCACCATTGTTGCCAGGTGTCAACCATCTCACCACCAAATTCCGGCAACAAATTTTACATGTTCCAAAAATAATAATTTCCATAAAATATAAGTTTCTTACTCAAACCTAGAGTAATTGTAAAAACTTATGAAAGTCAAACTCTGCAAATGGCGTTTACTGAGGTGGTAGAAAACAATTATACCTATACATGAGGTGGTAGAAAACAATTATACCTATACATCTTGTTGCTGATTCGATCCTTACTGATTTTCCTTCTCCTAACAACTACTATTTAATTCACTAATATTATCGTTTGTAAGGAAAAAAAAAAGTAATTTGAAACTCTTATTTTGTTTTCTTGACTTATTCATGAAGATTGTAAAAGTTAAAACGATTTATTTCAAGAATAATACTAGGCAGACTAATTTTTTAAAGAAAATTTGTAAACCACGCGACGTGCCATTAATAGAAAATAAGCACGTTAAACAACACTTAAATAATAATATAATCAAAAGTCATATCGTGTAATTTAAAATGAGTAATGTTAAAAAGACTAAATGTGTAGACAAAGTTTTGAAAACTAAAGGATATGAAAATTAATGATTGATTTATTACTTAAACGTTTGATAAACGTGATTATTCTTATTGGTGACACATTATTTAGTTTGTAAATTTAGTCTTCATATTATTATTTATTTAAAATAAATGGTATCCTTAACATTTCCCTGACTTCCTCCTCAAGATTCAACTCATTCGAGGCATCCTACACTCGCATGACACGTGTAATGCACTCAAGCCTACTTCTCAAAAAGGAAAACTAATGAAAAGGGCTTGAAAACTTTGAGTTTTAATGATAAGGACAAAATAAAGGGTAAAGTGAATAGTACCAGGATTGACTTTTTAGTGTAAAAATGTGGTTTTTCGTTAAAGTGAACAGTACGGGTGCTTTTCGTTAAAGTTCCCAATTAAAAAAAGCAAAAACCAGAATTCAAACCGATTTCTTATTTTCTTTGAAAAATGAAAACATCGAAATCGAAAATACGAATTCAATGTTCTTGTCAACCAAAAGACGCATTTTTTTTTCAATTTTGAATTGTGAATTTTTAATTTGTGATTAGGGAGATGGATTTCCATGCGATGAAGAGGAAGCGACTTCAATCACTTTGCAAAAAGCACGGGATTGCTGCAAATTTGAAGAACAGTGAAATGGCCAATCGGCTTACTTTGCTTCTCAAGGTATGTAAATGAAAGCTTATAAGTTAGTTGTGATATTGCCTATATTATTAATTGGTATTACGGTGGAACCTCACGTGTGAAACCCAATGGTCATGAATGCGCTACGTCACCTTGTCATTTGTGTTGTTCGCGTGTTTGACTTGAAAATGAATGAATCTCCCACTGTGAAGCCTAACGGCCACATGTGATTTACGTCACCCCGTCATTTTCTACGTGTTTCTTTTGAAAATTTGTATTGTTCACATGTTGGGTTTGAAAATGAATGAATCTCTTATTGTGAAGTCCAACGGCCA